CTACTTTGAAAGTTGACTGAAAGAAATCTATATTTGCATCCATTCTAAAGGATGGTGACCCAACAGAATGCACAAAGTATAGAACAATATCATTAATATCACAGGCAAGTAACATTTTGCTGAAGATCAACCAACAATAGTTGTAGCAATAATTGGTCAGGAAGCTGCCTGATATTCACGCAGGATTCAGAAGCCATGGAACGAGGGATAACATTTCTAATGTCAGATGGATCTTGGCTGAAAACAACGAAAACCAGAAAGATGTTTACTTGTATTTTATTGACTGTGCAATGGCATTGGACTGTGTGGCTCATAGCAAGTTATGGATAGCTTTGAGAAGAATGGGAATTTTAGAACACTTCATTGTGCTCACGCAGAATCTTTACAAGGTCAAGAGGCAGCTCGGCTAACAGAACAAGAGAATCCTGCATGGTTTAAAATCAAGAAAAATGTGTGGCACGGTTGAAGCCTCTCACTACACTTACTTACTTAATCTGCATGCTGAGCAAGTAATCAGAAAAGCTGGATGATACAAAGAAAAATGTGGCAGCAGCGTTGGAGAAAGTCTGCAATATGCAGATGGCCCGGCCTTGCCTGATGTAAGTGAAGAGGACTTGAAGCACTTGCTCATGAAGATCAAGGACTGCGGCCTTCAGGAAGGATTGCCACTCAATGTAACGAAGACCAAAATCCTCATGGCTGGACCAATAGGGTAACATCATGATAAATGTAAATAAGATGGGAGTTTCAGGGATTTTGTCTTGCTTGGATCCACAATCAACGCTCATAGAAACACACATCAAGAGATCAGATAAGACTTTACATTAGGTAAATCTGCTGCACAAGACCTTTTTAATCTATTGTAAAACAAGGATATTACTCTGAGGACTTATGTGGACCTGCCCCAAGCTATAGTATCTTCAAGCACCCCATATTCATGGGAAAGTTGGACATTGAATAAGGAAGACAGATGAAGAAACGATGCATTTGAATTGTGGTGCTGGTGAAGAATACTGAATGCGCATGGACTGCCAAAAGAACAAACAAATCTTTCTTGGAAGAAGTAGAGGCAGACTATTCCTTAAAAGCGAGGATGGTGAGACTGTGTCACTTTTGACGTGTTATCAGGAGAGACTAGTTCCTGGGAAAGGAGTGCATGCTTGGTGAAGCAGGGCGGCAGAAGAGAGCAAAGCCCTCCACAAGATGGTCGCACACAGTGGCTGCAACAGTGAGCTCAGACATGAAGAACGATTGTGAGGAGAGGACTGGGCGTGGTGTGCCCTGTGGTCCATCCGGTCGCTAGGAGTCAGAACGGACTTGAAGGCCCCTCACAAGAACAGCAGCTGGCCTCCTTTGTGCTGTATACGTCTGACCCTCATGAAACGCAGACATCTGCTACCTTCCACAGAAGAAATGCACACCAAACCACTGGTGTTTCTTATCTCAGTCCTCTCTCCGCAGACCCTTTTTACAATGCCAGCCGCAGAAGATAGTAGACCATCAAAGGCTTTAAATGGAGAGAAAATTACTATCCTTCAGTATAGTGAAGGTAAAGTATTGTGGCACCTTTTCATACCCGGATGCCCTGGGATTTGGGAATAAAGCCATCTTCCTTGAGGACAATGGGGATTAGGCTCTTTTCCTAAATAATACATCTTCCAGATTGCTGATATCTCTCTCTCTCCTAACTCTACCCTTCTATAATTGGATATGTGGGCCCTGCTGAGAGGAACCATTCTCTAATGGACTGTTCTCAGTGAGCCTAGTGATGAGGTTGTTAAGTGAGTTCTCTGAACTTATAATTTGGTATAACTTGGTAAATCATGTTTATTTCTTTGACAGGGACTCAGCTATAACTCTTAGACCAAAAAGAAAATCCCAGTGGACTTTCTGTAACATGGCAAAGGAACCTGAAAAACAGTAGCTTCAAAGAAACAGATTTGAGTTTCTCATATAAGAAGTCTAATGGAAAAATATTCAGGGCTCTTCCAATCTTCTGTTCCTCCTTTTATACAGTCTTGTCTAATCTAGCCCGTGTACCTCCACCCGTCACATTCTAG